GATTCACAGATAGGAGGTAGTTGATTTGGTGATAGTTGTTATGCTCAATACTTTTCACTTCATTGATCTCGTTTAAGGCGTTCGCCTCCACGTCGTGACCGTGAGGACAGAGACAGACGTGATCGAGATCGTGAGGATAGGGATTCGCGTTATGGAAGTGGAAGTAGTCGCCGACGAAGGTGAGATTCATACCTTTGTCATTATTACAATAGAGTGTGTGTGCAAGCATGGAAGTACATGCACAGTGGAAGCAGTAGTCAGGAGCCTAAGGAAGCGAGATTTGCTCATTTCGTGGCCCCGGGGCTTGCCAATCCTCCCTGAGCTCCGCCTCCACCCCTGTGCTCCGCCCACTAGTGTGTTACTAGTAGCATCATTTGGATGAGGTATTCTACTTCGAGTGCGTATCCTATAACTTCCCCATGGAACTCGCCATCAATCAAAGCATGATCTTTGCAAACGACCTTTTAGTTGGTTGCTAGCTCGTCCATTATCGGAGGTCAACGGGCAAAGAAAGGGGTCCCATTTTGCGCGTTCTTGACGGATTTCTTTGCTTTTTTCGCCACTGGGGCATTATTCAGCATCTCCACTTCCACTATGAACCCAACCCAATCTTATCGTAATCTCCTCGCTTTAAAGTGAACCTTATATAGTGAACCTCTCTGTTTTATACTTACGCTCAGTCACTCACAAATCGCATCGGTAAGATTCCATCATAAGTTAACGAATACATTTATTGGCGATTAGGAGTCTATGGGGTTCATCAGCAGTACGCGAGGACATGAGCGAAATAAGTTTCAGGGCGGTAGTTGAGAGACGAATGAGAACACATTTGCCGGTCGCGGCGTGTAGTTTTTCCTTGCGTATTACATCAATGGTTCAATCATGAATGGAAAAGTCATCCTGTTTTCAGAATGAGATCGCTTTTGTGAACTTTGGCATATTGCATCTGATGCGCTTTTTAATCTTATTATATCTGGTTCTGATTCCTTTTGTTCTGAACCCCGAGTCGCTAGTTTTTGCTCCCTTTGGTGCTAATCAGAATGAGCTGCTGATTTAAGTTTCAAGTCGTTGCTAGCTGCTGCAGTGGTAATGGTATAAGTATTTCATCTACTTCCGACTCTGTTACAATTTTGACATCTCGTGTGTTAAGGTGTACGAAGCTCAATACATCCAGAACCTTGACAAACGTTTCCTACTATTATGGAAGTTTAAAAAAAAAGCTCTTCCATTTCCCTCCTTGCAAAAGCAATTTAGCTTTCATACTAGTGTGGCTCGAATTCCTGTGTGTGTCAAAAAATCTATAGTAGATCGGCACGGAAAGATTCAGCCACTAAAAACGCTTCCATTTCGCCCGTTATACAGAAGCACCGCTCGCTGCGAATTGTAGGTTTGTCAAGACAGCATTCGTCTCTAACGCTACTACTGAAAGGAATAGGTTGTTGTAAGGTAGAGGTTTCGTTTCAGAACGACTGTGGTTTGCAGATTTCCCCGAGCACTGAAGGCGGGTCAATCAAATCAATACTTCCAGCACTGTTAGGAATTCTATTCCTTCGATCATGGGCTTGACCAGTTAATAGGGTATTCAGGGGGAGGGACAAAAAGAATTCATTTCTTCATATTTTAAACGGGTTATTTAGACTCTTCTAAGTTCGGTGCTACAAGAGTAACAAGGACGAAAGTTCCGCGCCGCAGACAACGACCGTAACCTAGGCGTGACATTAAGTGTGGCGTGCCGTTGCGGACACACACCTCAACTGACGACCCGGACTGAATAAGAGAGGGTGGCAATGCGCATTTTTTGAACAGAAATGTATGTAAGTGGGACTGTTGCCCGCTACTATACTGTCACGAGAATCGGGGAATTCATGAGCCAGGGGGAGTGTAGCCAATCTAGGGTGGTGCGGGTGAGTGGCAGTCACTTGACATGCGTGAAAAGCTGGGCGGGCACCCACTTTGTGTTAGCTAAATTCCAACGATGGTCTAGATGGTAATGGGGCTTATTTCTGGCTAAAATCTTGTGATAGACGCTCTTTACCCCAAGAAAATCAGGTGCTAACTAGGTGGGGGGGGGCCACGCGGCGGCGCGGCAGTCTGCTCGCCTGGCATCTTCGGAAATCCGTGGGCCAGGGGGAGTGTAGCCAGTCTAGGGGGGTGGGGGGTGGGGGCAGTCACTTGACATGCGTGAAAAGCTGGAATGTTCGAGTTTACACTGTCTCGTTCGAGAGAGCCCAGGTGAGCAGACTGCCGCGCCGCCGCGTGCCCCCCCCCCAACTAAGTTAGCACCCAAAATTCTACTTCGGAAAGATTGGTATACGGCACGGTCACAACGAGCATTGTTCGCTCGCACCGGTCGTGGACGCTATTTTGAAATTATCTGGAACGCTAAATAAAAACGGTCTTGCATATCCAGAGCTACTGTCCCTATGAGCCATCCACTAGCTAACCGACTAAAGAAATCATATAGCAGCCTCAGTCTCGATCGATTACGGTAGGCCTTCTAGAGGCCGACGCTGATGACAAACCGTCATATTCTGCAGGTGGTGAGGATAGTGATAGGAGGGTCAGCTTCTGCTTGCAGGTGGACATATAAGGAACATTACATAAGTTTCCTAAACAGCGACACCCTGTGAGACAGAAAATTTGGTGATATGTGCTATGGGTAAAGTGACTTTTTCCCCTTCCTCCCCCTCTGTAGTTCACCAAAGGTGAGGAGTCGATCGAATTCACACGTGATCATTTTTGTTGGGCGACTTCTATTTGATTCAGTGGTGACCGTCCCTTCCATGGAGTTCTGCATGTAGATTATGAAGGTGAGTCAAAACCGGGTGGTGAAGACACATAAAAAAGATTCTCGGTCGAATTGACGGTTTGTGGGGAGTGGTCTGTAACCATGATATCGGTTTCTTGTTCCACGTCTGTTTCCTTCGCCATCTTTAATATTTCAAAGTTCTTAATACATTCTTTTGATGGTGCAGCTTTCGAGATCGGAGATCGTAGGGAGTTTGTCTGATATTTCTGCTCCACGCAGTGGTCGTAGTGTACGACCTTGTTTGTCGAAAATTCGCACAATAAGTTACGGACGTCTAGAGGAGTGGATTTCTCAGCTGTCTTAGGCTGTATATCGTGAGCACGTAAAAAACTTCTAGCGCTTTATCCCATTTCAAATGGAACACGCAATTCCTCGTACGCATCAGCAGAAAGGAACTTGACAATTGACAGACCGATGCACAAGGTCGACCTTGCAGAGGAGACTTTCAGTATCAACAATTTCTTCTACATGGGACTTTACACGATCCTCTCCCAGAATGGACATTACGAATAAAACTAGAAGCACGTGCTTGTGCCTGCGTGTTCATTGAGCGTCAGATCATGTGGTTGATGAACATTCTTTGCGAACTCCTCGCACTTGGTTTGTTGGTCGGATGTGGATATAGATGTTCGTACATATCGGAATGGGTATCCATGCGGCGACATGATCGCGACATGGCCGAAACCAATCCACATTTGGCGTTAGTTCTCTTCATAGGGATCTCCAGGAGCTAGGGAATCGGAGAGAAATACAAAATACGACGAGCGACAGACAGACAGGCGAAGGAACGCTCTTTGTTAGGGTTGTTGATGTTTGTGATGTTTTTAGGATTTCGGCGTACGCGTTACCTAATGGGTTGAAGGACATACCTCAAACTTTGAGCCACGTTTAGGCTTTCGAGGAAGATGATCTTAACAAAACGTCAGTTTCCACTTAAAGACCTTGTTGGCAGAAGAGTAGCATTATAATTGTACTCAGTTTCGGTGTAAAGCAGTTGGTCCGCAACTGTTGCTACGGTCGCACATGCGTTACCTCCCACTGTTTGTCAGTTGCCACAACGGAGGGTGAGGGGTAACTGCATTGACACCATATGTGGTTGACTAAGTCCATGTGCAGCTCTTGCGCGGAGGGGTCGGAGAATCGGGTCGGGTGGTCATCGCAGTTGCACGGGACACAGGCGCGGGGTTTGAGGATCACTGCAATGATTTTTGAGGACGAGAACCCCCACACTTCTTGGCGCACATAAACTTTGGAGGGCTTTCGGGGTACACCTGTAACCCAAAATTCAAACTAGGAAAGATGGATTCTTAGACGAAAACTGAATTCGCACCCTTTCGCTGATGAGGGAAAGTTGGGCCGAATGGTAGTCTGTATCATATGTCTTGGCTTGTGGCTTCAAAGCAAACTTAAGAAGAATACCACGCACGATGCCAAGGTTCATCGATCGTCGATCCTGTGTGCTATTGTACTCACGATCAGTTGTTTTGGCTTGGCTCAAGGAAGCCATTCACCTGGTCAGCAATCTTGTCAAAAAAAAACTTGAAAAAATAAGCCTAACCATAAGCCTAAAGCTGCCACATAGTTTTAAGTGAACGGCTTCACGCTTGTCCTTCTGCTTGCGCTTGTCCTGTCTGAGATAACGTCTCGTGTTACACGAAGGGACACAAAAAAGGACGGCTACATTTATCTGGAAATCGCGCGGCCCTTGCGTTCCTGGGTGGTCATCGGCAGTGCCACGGAGGCGCGGAGTTTGAGGTCACTGTAAGGATCTTGACACGAGAACCCCACACTTCGGGCGCAAAACTTTGGATTTTGGGTACGCGCTAAAAACCCAAAAATCAACAGGAAAGATGAATTCTTAGCCGAACAAGTGAATTCGCACCTTTCGCTGACCTTTGAGAGAAACGTTGGCCGAATATAGCTCCTGTATCATCTTGGCTTGTGGCTTCAAAGCAAACTTAAGAAGAATACCCCGCACGATGCCAAGGTTCATCGATCGTCGATCCTGTGTGCTATTGTACTCAGTTGTTTTGGTTTGGCTCAAGGAAGCCATTCACCTGGTCAGCAATCTTGTCAAAAAAAATTGAAAAATAGAAGCCTTACCATAAGCCTAAAGCTGCCACATAGTTTTAAGTGAACGGCTTCACGCTTGTCCTTCTGCTTGCGCTTGTCCTGTCTGAGATAACGTGTCGTGTTACACGAAGGGACACAAAAAAGGACGGCTACATTTACTTGCGTATTCTCACTTGTTCGGATCTTCACTGCTCCATTCGTAGCTCCGTCTATCAAAACACATCCACACTATCTGCCGCTGGTTTCTATGCTCACGGATATCCTTCTTCGTGTTTCTTGTTGCAAATTCCTCAATGGAGCCGACACGTATCGATGCTTTTCGTGAATTCTCCGATTCGCAAGTGACGCGAGCTCTGAGTACAGTCTAACTTCTGCCCTTCGCAAATTGTCCACGTCGCCTTACTGAAGTGTCAATGTTGCGACATATCGCTGCTTACTGCACTACATTTATAGCCCTGGGCCTTTTAGTTCTCAATCAGCCACCGTTAATGAAGTAAAGTGGAGCCCAAGCGTACTGGTTGGTCGTTGTCGTTACGTGTAGGATTGCTGAAATTGATGATCACACGTGTGTTATTAGGGCTTTTTGAGTTAATCGTGCGACAACGTTAGTAACAGCTGGTTGCTTTGTTGTCGGAGATGCTCGCTAAATGCATTGCAGCAAAGCACGTACCGATTCGTAGCTCGGAGGGTTGTTCTTTACAACATACTCAATACGCAAGTAAATGTAGCCGTCCTTTTTTGTGTCCCTTCGTGTAACACGACACGTTATCTCAGACAGGACAAGCGCAAGCAGAAGGACAAACGTGAAGCCGTTCACTTAAAAACTATGTGGCAGCTTTAGGCTTATGGTAAGGCTTCTATTTTTCAATTTTTTTGACAAGATTGCTGACCAGGTGAATGGCTTCCTTGAGCCAAACCAAAACAACTGAGTACAATAGCACACAGGATCGACGACGATCGATGAACCTTGGCATCGTGCGGGGTATTCTTCTTAAGTTTGCTTTGAAGCCACAAGCCAAGATTCGTA